CCAGCCACCGCTGCTCTAACCCACTAGACCCCACTCCCCTCCCAGAGCTGGGGAGAGAACCCAGGAGTCCTGGCTCCCAGCCACCGCTGCTCTAACCCATTAGATGCCACTCCCCTCCCACACCCAGGGCTAAATCCCAAGAGTCCTGGCTCCTGGTTGCCTGGCACATAACCTCTATCCTGTCTTCCCTCCCCAACCTCTGTCTCCCCACCCATGAGGCCTCAATTCCAAGGGCTGTTTCCCAGGTGCCCAGCCAACCACTCACCTTCCAGCAAGGGCAGCTCCAGCAGCAGCCGAATGGCCAGCAGACAGCTTAGACCTCTCATGCCCCACATTCCTCCAGATGCACCTGGCTTCAGTGGTGTCTGGGACAGAATCCTGAATGTGAAAGGGAAAGTTGAGGGGGGAGAAAATACAGATACCACGGCAGTTTCGTAACTAGAAGTATGAAAATAAAGAGCAGGTGGTGAAAGGTGACAAAAGGAACTCCCCTTCCAAGAGCTGGGGAGAGAACCCAGGTGTCCTGGCTCCCAGCTTCCCCTCCTCTAGCCCACTAGACTTTACTCCCCTTCAAGAGCTGGGCATAGAACCCAGGAGTCCTGGATCCCCCCCCCTGTTCTAACCCACCAAAGGTCATTCATTGGGTTATTTCCTGCTTTCATTCTCACTCCATTAAACCTGAAACAGTTTCCTGTTCAAAGCAAATACAAGGTTTAATATTTAAACCCAGGTGGAGTTGAATTCCTATGATAGCCACAAGCTCTGCTCAGTCCTGTCCCGCAGCCCCCTGCTATCCCAGCCCGGGGCTTCCAGTCGTGTGATCTCCGGGTGCATATATTCAATGACCCTTCGCTACTTCTATCTAGTCCCCTCGCTTCGGTTGGTTCTTCCCCTACAGCCAGAAAGCCATCTACTGTGAATCTGTGCTCACCTGTTCAATACCATTAATCCTATAGGAGAGGAGTGGGCGCTAGTGGGTTGGAGGAAGGGGTGATGGAATTCAGGACTCCTGGGTTCTATCCCAGCTGCCATCTGCACCTCTCAGAATTTACCTGTCTTGTAGTTTTATAGCTCTGTTTATGAATGTGACGTGTAGCCTCCTAATTGCAGCCAGTGACTTTGCCCTCCTGGTCTGGGCTTTGGTCCCAGCCCTCAGAGGAGCCGGCTGGAGTTGGGGGAACCGTATCATGGGTGTTCTCAGCTGCCCGCTGGCCGCCTTGTTCCTGGTTCTCGTGCTGCCCCTGCTGGAGGGTGAGTGCAGGGTCTGCTGGGGTCCTGGCATTTGATGTCTTCTGGCTGTGGGAGTGTGCTGGTATGAAGGATGAGGATTGGAAAGAGACAGAACAGGGATATGGGGGGGACTGGGAGCCAGGACTCCTGGGTTCTCTCCCCAGCTCTGGGAGGGGAGTGGGGTCAAGTGGGTTAGAGCAGGGGTGGCTGGGAGCCAGGACTCCTGGGTTCTATCCCCAGCTCTGGGAAAGGAATGGGTTTCTGTCCCTCACACCTTCAAGCCCATAAGGAATTACTCTCTCTGCAATAACTTGTGGCACTCCCTGCTGGAGGACTCTGCCCTCTGTGGGTTTCAAGAGGGAAAGGCCAGGGGTGGGGTTCTCAGCACTTACACTGGGCGGGAGGGGATGGAAGTGAGGGGTAGGGGAAAGGGGAGATGGTTTTGGGGGGCAGGGCGAGGGCCTGTGGGAAGGGTAGGTTGTAGGTGGCAAAGGAAAAGAGATGTAGGGTTCGGGAGGCAGAGAGGGGATGGATAAGTGGGGCTGGGGTGGACGTGTGGGGCATGGGGCAGGGAAGAGCTCATCGAGGTTGAGCAGGGGATGCAAAACCATGACTGAGAGAATGGGCCCTTCCCCCATCACCCATTGGGGGGAAGTTATGGGGCAGAGACCCTGGATTTAAGGTCTGGGCTGTCTGTGGGGAATCTCAGTCAGAGGGGAAAACCCTGTAACAGACTATGTCCCCCTACATGCCCCCCTTCCTGGGGGGGGCAAACCCGAGGCCAGAGAACCACTCCCACCCCCATGGGAGGAGGTCGGGGACTCATGGGAGACATTGGGGCAGGCCATGGCTCCCAGGGGGCCTGGTGGAGTTGTGAGAAGAGGAATTTCTGGGATCTGCCTGTGAAAATCATGTGTGTGTGCATGCATGTGAGTACGTGGGTGCAGCGCTGCCCCCTGCTGGAGGGGTCAGAGCCGTGTGCGGTTTTCACACCTCATTCATCCCTCTCTTTCTTTTCTAGGTGCTGAGGAGTTCCAGTCAAGTAAGGAATCTGGACACTTTCTGTCCCCAGCTCTGGGGGGAGTGGGGTCTGGTGGGTTAGAGCAGGGGGGGCTGGGAGCCAGGACTCCTGGGTTCTCTCCCCGGCTCTGGGAGGGGATTGGCGCTGGTGGGTTGGGGATGGTGGGAGCCAGGACTCCTGGGTTCTCCCCCTGGCTCTGGGAGGGGAGTGGGGTCTGGTGGGTTAGAGCAGAGGGGGCTGGGAGCCAGGACTCCTGGGTCCTAATCACACACCTCCCCACCTTTCTCCCCAGCCTGTGGGCAGTCAGTGGCCTCCAGCCGTATCGTAGGAGGGCAGAATGCCCAGAACGGGGCTTGGCCCTGGCAGGCCAGCATTCAATACAAAGGATTCCACATCTGCGGAGGGTCCCTCATCACAGGGGAATGGGTGGTGTCTGCGGCTCATTGCTTCAATCGGTGAGTGCCCCCAGCCTGTTCCCTAACTGTCCCACCCCAGAGGTGGCTGCATCTCAACGCTAGGCAGGGGCACCCCTGTGTGGTGTCGCTGTGCAGCTACAGCCCAGCTTTTAAACAATCCCCTGCAGGAACCCTTCAGTGTGCCAGACCCCCATGGGTCCCACCCTGCCTTCGGGCTCGGCCCCGTGGCCCCACCCCCTCCATGACTGAGCCACTGGGCTCCGGGCCTCCCGCTTCAATTCCTGAGCTCTGCCCAGTGAGTCCAAGGGAGACAGAGCCCTGGTGGAGACTTGGCCAGTGCACCTCAGCCAGGACTTGCAGTGACGTCAGCCAACGTTGTCAGACCAGGGTCTGGTTAATTCATCAACTGGACCACGGCTCGGGGAAATCCTTAGGTTAGCCCAGAGAAACCACGGTGGAGATAGAGGCCATCTGGCCAAGCCAGCGCTCCCCAGCCTGCTCTGGGCTCCATTCAGCCGCTGTCTCTGGGGGTACGTTTACCCAATGAGAGACCCGTGGCACGGCCGCAGTTGGCCTGGGGCAGCTAGCCCGGGCTTGAAGACTCGGCACCGCAGGGTTTTTTAGTGCAGTGTAGAGATATCCCAAACCTCTCCCCTGCTGTCAGCTCTCAGTCCTTTGTTCTCGGCTAGCTTCTGCTCAGCTTCCCTGTGGAGACGCGGAAGGAATCCAACTTCCTCCAGGCCTTTGGTTGCTGGGTCTCAATGTTCTGGCCACCGCGGTTTTCATTCTCTTCTCATCTTCCGCAGTGATATGTGGTCAGCCTCAGGCGGTCCTGTAAGGACCTCTTCAGTCCACACCAGAGAGCAATGTAACAGAACCCCTCTGCCCGGTTCTCCTGTGCTGCCCCACTGAGAGACTTAACACTTTTGCACCCAATAGGGAAACTGAGGCACATAGAGGATTCATAAAAATACTACAGAAAATTCCCACTTTGCCACAGTCTGTTCCCCATCTGCCCCATCCCAGAGGTGGCTGCGTTTCGACTCTGTGGTAGCGAGTATAATAACAAACTCCTGCCCAATGTCTTCCCCTCTCCTAGGAATCTGCCCCTCACTGGTTACTCTGTTTCCCTTGGGAAATACCAGCTGAATATCCAGAATGCAAACACCTTCACCTCTGCTGTGTCACAGGTCATAATCCACGGCGACTACAACCCCAGCAGCTATGCCTCAGACATAGCCCTGGCGCACCTAAGCAGGCCCCTTCTATACACCGCCTACATCCTCCCCGTCTGCCTTCCTGACCGCAATGATTCCATCGCGAATGGCACCCTGTGCTGGGTCACCGGCTGGGGGGATGTCCAGATGAGTGGTAAGACGCCTGGAGGGCCTGCGTGGGATGGGGGTCCCCCAAAGGCGACATGGGAGAACCCTTGAGCCAGGGCTCTGTCTGCTGCATGAGTCATGTCGCCAACTAGCGGCCGCAGCCCAAACAGGCAAAGCAAAGCCCAACGGCTGCTGAAGAGCAGAGATCCTCCAATGGGAGACAGGATGCGGTGGTGGTTGAGGAGTGGGGTCTAGTGAGTTACAGCAGTGGGGGCTGGGAGCCAGGACTCCTGGGTTCTATCCCTAGCTTGGGGAGGGAAGTGGGGTGTGCTAGGTTAGAGCGGGTTGGCTGGGAGCCAGGACTCCTTGTGTGCTTAAAAACTCCTGTTCTCACCTGATTTAACTAGATGGGCCCAGATGGGGCATCTCCATCTCTGCAGGGGAAGAGACAGTCAGGGACGATCCTGCCCTGGGTGGAGATGGCTGAGGTGGGCCCTGATGAGGTGTATTTTTCCTCCACAGAAAGTCTCCCTGCTCCCCGCACTCTGCAGGAGGTTCAAGTCTCACTCATGGATGCTGAGATGTGCAATGATCTCTATAGCAAACCCATCACAGGGTCCCCGGGATCGCGCCCCATCAAAGACGACATGGTGTGTGCTGGCTACACCAGAGGAGGGAAGGACTCATGCCAGGTGAATGAATTCAGGGACATCCCAGGAGATCCAGGAGCCCATGTCTGCGATTGGAGGGGGCTGCGGGTCAGGCTTGAGGGACACTGGCAGAGCTGGTGGGGGAAGTCCCCCGGGGCTGCAGATTGGGATTACAGGGCACCGGTCTAACTGGTTCTCCTTCTCTCTCTAGGGGGATTCTGGGGGACCCCTCGTTTGTTCCCAGGCTGACTCCTGGTTCCTGATCGGCATCGTGAGCTGGGGAGAAGGCTGTGGCCTCCCCTACCGTCCCGGGGTCTATACCCGGGTCTCCGCCTACTCCGACTGGATCCAGCAGCAGCTCCCCAGTGTGGAATCCGGGGTGGTGAATGTCACCATTAGGAGTCATCCTAATGCTGGCTACACTCCAGCGCCCACTCTCCTGCTCCTCGGCCCCCTCCTGCTGGCCAACGCTGCCCTGGGGATAGGGCCACTGCTTGGTTTCTGAGCTGCTAATTTAACACCAGCCCTGCCATGAGGGAGACAGGGCATGATTATGGGGCTGGGAGGGGAGTGGGGTCTAATGGGTTAGCACATGGGGAGCTGGGTGCCAGGACTCCTGGGTTCTGTCCCTAGCTCTGGCAGGGGAGGCAGTTTTAGTGAGTTAGAGCAGTGGTTCTCAAGCGGGGGTCCATGGACCACTGGTGTAAGTCATTCCAGTGGGTCCATGAGCCCCCTTTCCCCATATGGCTAAAGCTAGGAGCCCAGAATCCCAAGCCCCAGTGCCCCATGGGGCTAGAGCCCTGAGCCAGGGCAACCTACGAGACAGAAGCCCTGCACACCCCTGCCCTGCATGGGTAAAGCCCCCCAGACCCATGAGGCAGAAGCCCCCATCCCCACAGGGCTGAAGCCACAAGTCCCCCCATCTAGCGGCTGAAGCCAGAGCCCCAACCCCTCCACACACACACACACACACACACACACACAGAGCTGAAGCCTGGAGTCCAAGACCCCGCCCCTCCACTGGGCCTTCGAATTTTATAGCATGTTGGGAGTCCTCTGAAAGAAAAATCTGGAGAAGTCCTGAGTTAGAGAAGCGGGGACTGGGTGTCAGGACACTTGCGTTCTATCCTTGGCTCTAGGAGGGGATTAAGGTCTAGTGGGTTGGAGCGGGGGGCTGAGAGCCAGGACTCCTGGGTTCTGTCCCCAGCTCTGGGAGGGGATTGAGGTCTAATGGGTTGGAGCGGGGGGGCTGGGAGCAGGACTCCTGGGTTCTATCTCTGGCTTATCTACAGATTCGCTGTGTGACCTTGAGCAAGTCCTGGGTCTCTCTGAGTCTCAGTTTCCTTAGGTGTAAAAGCGGGAGAATAAACCTGCCTTTGGTTGGACCAGGTGTCCTGCCAAAAATTGTTTTGGTGGCCTCAGAGTGTGGCCACCAACTCTTGCCAGTGGCTGCTCTGACACTTTTCCCTAAAATACTTAATTTATTTTAAGAAAAACAAATCAATCTGCACAGATCCATGTCCAAATCATTGTCATTTATTTATGGAGGGGCTGCTTTTTAAAAAAAAAATTATTATTATTTTTTGCAGACTCAATAATAAAAATAACGTACAGTTGTCTCTATTCTTTACTGCACCTAAACAGACTAGAAACACAAATCAGGGGCTTTCCACATTCTTGTCTCTTGTGATCGTTTCTTTTGCTTTTGTGGTAAAAGGTAGCTGGCTGTACAACAATTCTGAAGTAAATTTTAAAATGCTTTTATATAATGAAAGTCCAAATAATCATGAAAAAACCATATCTGCAAATATGTCCAAAATTTCTTCCTTTCAGAAACTTAGACCAAAAACTCCAGTAATAAACATGATAATAGTAACAACAAACATCATCGCGTTATAGTGCCCTTTACTAATATAGTGTGATCATGACATTAAAGTTCTGGGTTTTACACATCCCTTGTGTGGATCGGGCGACTGGGAAAAGTTCAGGAGCTCTTTGAATGGAAAGTCTGTAGGATCTCAGGTCTCCCATGCAACTAGAAGGGAACCTTCCCGGTTTGCATCAGGAAAGGTAGTGCAGTGAATGCCCTCTCACGCAGCACAGGAGTAGAAAACAGGGGCAAGACAACCAAAGCAACTTTAGCTAGGGGCTTGTAGGTGTCCTCAAAGAGGTACACCTTACTCCAGAACTCCTGTACTGTAACACCGGGCTGGCTGAGGTATGTTTTCATCCGTGCATCACTGCGCAGTGGCAGCATGAGGTACCTGAGATTAACTTCCTTTGACTCTTTGGATGTAAGCCATCTGTCTTCATAGAATCATAGGACTGGAAGGGACCTCGAGAGGTCGTCTAGTCCAGTCCCCTGCACTCAAGGCAGGACTAAGAATTATCTAGACCATCCCTGACAGGTGTTTGTCCAACCTGCTCTTAAAAATCTCCGATGGAGATTCCACAACCTCCCTGGGCAATTTATTCCAGTGCTTAACCACTCTGACAGTTAGGAAGTTTTTCCTAATGTCCAACCTAAACCTCCCTTGCTGCAATTTAAGCCCATTGCTTCTTGTCTTATCCTCAGAGGTTAAGAAGAATAATTTCCCCCCCCCTTCCTTGTAACAACCTTTTATGTACTTGAAAACTGTTATCATGCCCCCTCTCAGTCTTCTCTTTTCCAGACTAAACAACAGTTTTTTCAGTCTTCCCTCATAGGTGATGTTTTCTAGACCTTTAATTATTTTTGTTGCTCTTCTCTGGACTTTCTCCAATTTGTCCACATCTTTCCTGAAATGTGGCGCCCAGAACTGGACACAATACTCCAGTTGAGGCCTAATCAGCATGGAGTAGAGCGGAAGAATTACTTCTCGTGTCTTGCTTACAACACTCCTGCTAATACATCCCAGAATGATGTTTGCTTTTTTTGCAACAGTGTTACACTGTTCACTCGTATTTAGCTTGTGGTCCATTATGACCCCCAGATCCCTATCTGCAGTTCTCCTTCCTAGGCAGTCATTTCCCATTGGGTGTGTGCAACTGATTGTTCCTGCCTAAGTGGAGTACTTTGCATTTGTCCTGATTGAATGTCATTCTATTGACTTCAGACCATTTCTCCAGTTTGTCCAGAGCATTTTGAATTTTAATCCTATCCTCCAGAGCACGTGCAACCCCTCCCAGCTTGGTAACATCCGCAAACTTTATCAGTGTACTCTCTATGCCATGATCTAAATCATTGATGATGATATTGAACAGAACCAGACCCAGAACTGATCCCTGCGGGACCCCACTCATTATGCCCTTCCAGCATGACTGTGAACCACTAACTACTCTCTGGGAATGGTTTTCCAACCAGTTTTTCACCCACCTTATAGTAACTCAATTGAGGTTGCATTTCCCTTGCTAATCAGCTAGTTTGTCTGCAGCCAGAAAACCTGAACCAGAATTGCTGAATGGGTCAGTCATGAAGGTGTATTGATGGAAAATGTTTCCCTCACTGAAGCGATTTTCAAGATCCTCCAAGAGGACACTTAGGTATTCGGTTACCGCTAAACAGATCTTTCGCTGCACATTCTCATCCTCAACTGAGAAACTGACTAAGCCCCTGTGACCGGGGTCCCTGGGGAGCCACGCTGAGATTTCTCAATTAGGGGAAAATGCAAAGAATGGGGCAGACAATCCCCCAAACTGGTGGTTATTCTAACACTTAGATTCACCAAGCCAGCAACAAAACAGGTTCTCCAATACCTCACTGGTTACCCAGAAGCCAGAAACAGAGCTCCCCCAAAGCAACCCAGCCTTTGGGCTCCCACCCAGACCGCCAAGTCAAATAGGATGAGGATTACTGAAAATTTTGTTCATTAAAAATGTTCTTCCACTCCGAAAGGAGCGGACACATTAACCCCCCAGGTCAATGAATATTTCAGCTCTTACTCGAATACATGCTTACAGCCAATTCTTATTAACTAAACCAAAATGTATTTAAAAAGAAAAGAGAGAGCATATAGGTTAAAAGCTCATTATCCATCCAGCTATGAATAGAGTTCTTTAGGTCAGTTTCATAGTAGAGATGGTGAGCTTCAGAGTCACAAAGAGTTCTTTCCAGAATCCGTTTATAGTCCACTGTCCATATATCCAATATCAGGGCGATCCAGAATGGAACTTGAGACCTCAGTATTGTGAATCAAACTTCCCCGGAGGAAGCTTAAGCAGATCTGAGATAAAAAGGATCAGGGCCCAAGAGTTTTTTTATAGATTTTTTGCAGCCTCTTGACAGCCGGCAGTCCTTGGGTGAACAATAGCCTTTTGGAGTAACCTTCTATTTCCTAAGGGTACGTCTACACTACGAGATTAATTCGAATTTAGATAATTCGAATTTGGGAAACAGATTGTATAAATTCGATTGTGCGCGGCCACACTAAGCACATTAATTCGGTTTTTAACCACATTAATTCGGTGGTGTGCGGCCACACTACCCCATTAATTTTAACCACATTAATTCGGTGGTGTGCGGCCACACTACCCCTAATTCGAATTTACAAAATCGATTTTGGTGCTACTCCGCTCGTTGGGGTGGAGTACAGAAATCGATTTTAAGCGCCCTTTAATTCGAAGTAACTGGCTCCGTTGTGTGGACGGGTTAAGGATTAATTCAGATTAACGCAGCTAAATCCGAATTAAAGTCGTAGTGTAGACCAGGCCTTAGTATCATTGGTAATTAGCGACATGGATTAACATAAGGCAATTGCCCATCTCCCACCGTTTGCAGGTCGTTTGCTACATACTTCCAAGCAAAATGAAGACAGTGATATCACATAAGGGCACTGTTTGACTATGAAATCCCCTTCAAATCCCTGTCAGTTCTTTCTCTACTTCCACATTGCCATACCAACTATAACGAGAGTAATCAGTTAAGGTGGGCTATTGTCAGAAGGAGAAAAAAAACTTTTGTAGTGATAATCAGGATGGCCCATTTCCAACAATTGAGAAGAAGGTGTGAGTAACAGTAGGGGGAATAGTTTTACTTTGTGTAATGACCCATCCACTCCCAGTCTTTATTCAAGCCTCATTTAATGGTGTCTAGTTTGCAAATTAATTGCAATTCAGCAGTTTCTCGTTGGAGTCTGTTTTTGAAGTTTTTTTGTTAAAGAATTGCCACTTTTAGGTCTGTAATTGACTGACCAGGGATACTGATGTGTTCTCCAACTTGTTTTTGAATGTTATGATTCGTTAGCTGAGGTTTCTGAAGCTCCAGGTTCAAGGAAGCAAGCTTTGGTGAAAACTCTTTCAAAAAGAGCAAGCAAGCTTTTGGGACAGTTGCAGTGAAACTGTGCTGAGAACCTCAACCAGCTCTTCCCGGAGCTCCGACAGCCTCTGTACGCTGTTATTAAAACTAAGCCACTGGAATGGGTTGTAATTCAGCAGCATGTTATGTGTCTCGCAGCCCGTTTCACACAGAGCTGCGAATCTCCCTTCATTGATGCCGCTGGCGTTAACAGCACTGAGGCACTTTTTCAC